TCACACTCTCGTTGATATCCGCCTTACAAATCAACATGCTTTGGTAGTTGATACAACAGCATTGAATCTGGCTATGTTTTGATACATCGTTCAACATTGTGTAGTGTGGTTTCTTGGCCGTGCATTGCAATGAGTGTCCGATTAATGAAATCGAAGAGGTATATTCATAGTTCATATAGAGCATCACAACATCTATCATCGTTCTTCGTGTGGCCTTGGGCCATGCGATCAACCGTACGGAAATTCAATCGACGGTCTTTCACGAGCCGTCGGGGACTGTACTCGTGCATAACCACACCTCCGCTGTGCTGGGTAGCTTGGGGAAAAGGATACAATAAGAGACGTGGTATAGTCGTGTAACCAACATATAGAGTATTCGCAGACTATCCCAAACGCATCGTACTGCTAAGAACTAAGTAGTATATGCGAGACAACTGACCTGAGCTCACGGGCCATATGGAGTAGCTCAAACTCGACTCTGGTTTGTTTCAGCAGGAAACTTGGGACGAGAGTGACTATTGTCGTGATGGCTTGCTTTCCCTCGAACGAAAATAGAAGCAAGATAAAGCAAAACTGGGCAAAGGAACTAAGTCTGTGAAGGTGCTCAAATGGAAAGCTACCCACATATAATGCAAATCAAGAACGATGATGCTTGCATGACAGCAAGCTTTGGGCATGACGAAGATAGGAGGCTACCAATGTCTGCTTTTGGTTAGATCCGGATGCATCAAAGATACAGAGGATGGAAACGGACTTCGCAAAGCGGCACTGCACTGAAATCCGATTGGAGAGGCCCGTAGGGTGATCAAAGCAGACTCAACAGCCCAAAGGATAGTGAGAGCTCCTGGTAATCCATGAACTCAAGATTACCCAAATGTCTAATGGTTACGCACCAAGAAGTATCAGTTCACTACCACTAACGATAGTACCTTTACTACGGGATACATGATGTATACTAGACAGCATTTAGCATCGGTTCACAGTGCGGGAATATGCCAATCGACTTACAGTGGGAGAAGAATAACAATAGTAAGGAGCCCAGCGGCTATCCCAAGAGATTGGAAATCAAGAGTGACAACTTCGGGTATATGTCTTTGTTCGTTAGCAAGAATGTCTGCGTCCAGCGCGACAACAACGATTCCAAAGATCATTGCGAGAACTGCGTTGAGGGATCAGAAATATCCTTCAAACAAAGAAATAAATCGCTCACATAGAAAGGTGACTCTAACCAGCGTAACGGGAACCATGACGCAAGGCTGGGGAAAAAGCAAGCAAAGGGCGCGCCTTATATCGTCAATGTGCCCAAGGATGACTTCGTTAATCAACTGATTACCGCTCGTATAGTATGATGGATATCCCGGGTTCCATCACTGCAAACAGATGGCGGGTTCACACACGATAAAAGGCAACCCGACATAGAAACCATTCCGGTCAATTCCCAGAACTATAACTTGGGACGGAATTAAATCGCTGAGACGAATGAATCTGTGGCTTGAAGCATCAATTGACAATAGTAGCCCTTAGTATGGGCGATGTAATCTATTCCTGCACCAAGGACTATTGCATCTTGCAGTGCGGTTAGAATCAATACTCGAGAGTTCCTCTAGTCTGTTGGTGGCGGTGATGATGGGAACCCGTCGATGGGTACTTATACCAATGGACAGCAAGAGTATAAGCCTAATTAGTACTGACCCAGGAGGGATATGGACTTTGCAGCCCATATTATTGTATATCCTGGTTCCCGATTCAACCGCTGTCAATTCATTATCATTCCCTTCTGTTTTTTAGCGGTCGCTAGAGTAATTGTAACACCATCGAAGTGTTAAACACAAGTTGATCAAGCCAACGGCTAGATAATTTTAGATGACAGCACACTGAACCAGTGCGAAGGAGCCTGAGGAATCAGGCTATGTGGTAGCAAAATCGAGATCCCCTATCTAATATTTCAGGATCCAAACCTTCAGTACCTCAGTGACAATGCGTTCAGTGTGAACATATTGTTCGACTCACAATCCAGAGATAACGATAGCTGTTAGGCGTCCCGCGATTAACCCATGACCTTTAAAGTCAAGCAAGGTGCTGTCGGCTAATTTTCTTTGGATGACAATAATGACATGGAGTGTAAGGCGCCCGTATTAGCGCTAGTACCAGGGCACCTATGTTACGTACTTTACTCGTTTGTTGCTTCTTTACCACCATGTCGCTCGCTTCGGCTTAGCTCCTCGCAGCGTTCTCTTCGGATTACTCGAATATACCATATCGTAGGAGCATAATTGTACATGGCAGGTCATACGCAGCCGTGTGGTGAAGTTGACGCAGACGCAATACAAAAAGGGACGGAAAGCACGGGCTTTGCAATTGCAACACATAGATTCGATTCATTTATAGTTGAATGCAGATCACTAAGTCCATGCAATGTTCTCGAACATTTAAATAACATGATTCGACTTGGACATACCAGACTAGCAATATTCGTATGCGGGTGCAAAGCAAAGCGCTACTCAGCGCTTGCACGCGAAAGTTTATCCCCGCGCCAGTTTCCAGTGACGCGGATGTGCACAATATACAGCAAGACTAATACCAAGCAAATCAACCTATGGAAGGTGTTCGTGTTGGAAATGACTCACGGAGAAGCCAAGTCACAAATGATAACCGGTAACCCTTGAATGGTGACAAGCTTATCGCATCTAGCAGCAAAGGTCCCACCTACTTCTGTCATTCGTTCTGGAGAACGATCATGAAGGAAGAAACTAGCTACTCAGACCAGCACAATGGGATGCCGAAGGTGTTAGGAGCGTCACAAAGGCGGATTCAACGATCCACAGGATCGTGAGTATGCCTAGTTACGGTGCAAGCCCAATATTCGAGAGTATAAATCATTCAGATGTTACACTGCACCGTACGCCAATGAAGTAGACATCCTGACATTGGCCGGAGTTGACATCGACGAAGAGTAGGAGGATGACCGAAGGGACTTCCCTGCGACTGTGGTATCTAATTGTCGGGTTGAAAATGTACACGTAACTAGGAGCCAATTGACCCTTCAAGTACACTATTGAGGTATCTATCCTGATGGGCTAGTTTTCCGACACCGATACCAATCTGTTCCCCTCAACTGCGTAAGCTGAAGATCAGGTCGTGGAGGTAGAGGGGAAAGGAGTGAAATGAGGCTTAAACAAATAACAAACGGCTGTCCATGGTCCGTGCGCAAACGTGGAAAGGACAGCCATGAAACAGAATCCGTCCCGAAGATATTTCTCTCTTGCTTTTGCAGCCGATGATGATATTCATTATCTTGATACTATACGCCTCCTTAACAAGGAATCGTAAATTGTGACGTGAATGCTATTGTATCGCATTGCAGTGACATCAAACAGATAATTTATTAACATAACTTGATCAAAGCTGTTCGACAAGTACGAAGGACAACAATAATCAACCTCTGGTCAAAATTCCCATCCTTCCGGTACCAACAGATCTTGGATCTCCACGCCAACCTACCTTGCCTATAACACAAATGAAAACGATCTAAAGCAAGACCGCGCCCGAACTCAATCAATGAGCCAAATGAAAGACTCGGATGAACGCGTGTATAATCGACGTATAATCCAAACCACGAAACGACAACGCCTGAATCACACAAGCTCAGAGTCGCACGTCATAGCGAGGGTATTATTAATACCCGTTCAAGAATCAGCCTCTCCAGTGCCGCCATTACAATTTAACCCGGGACGGATATACCATAAAATCGAACCAAAAGATCCTTCGAATCGGCGTGTACGTGCAATGTGCGAGGGACTCACATGCATGCCCTGTGGGAAACCATATAATTCTACTCGATGAGCCAACGGGTTCTGATCTTTTCCGAGAAGGCCAGTGGGCATCTGATGATTTCAAGATGACTCGGATTTCTTTGTATAATTTGGACTTGAACATTTCGGAAGCTGCCAAGGTGATGTCAATCTTGATTCTTGGCTGGGCGCTGGTCGGTGCGTGCAACGTAGCGGAATATATCACCTTTCTGAATCTATCTGATGAGTATGTACAGGTGGAATTGGAAATATTCCAAGGCGACCCCCGTGCCAAACTCGTCGGATACCATCAAATATCATCAGAGACGCAGGTTCTTTGTTGGTGTCCGATGATATCTGATGCATTTGAAGGTGTTCTATATTTTTGGAGAGCATCGCAATTTCTCACTGGTACTCATAATCCAAGGGTAACACGAGTGTCGAGACTGGAGATGGCTAACCCGAGGTTTTGAAAGTATTTTCAAGGTGTCATATGTCAAGGTATGCTCGTGGTAAAGGAGAGAAGAAATCACTCACTGAGAATGTTGAATCAAACGATAGTAGTATGAGACATAGCGGATGGTCGGAGATGAACAAAGAGCGGAGAAAGGACTTGATAAATGACACTCGGGCGGTCAAAGAAGTTGATCTAACGCACGTATATTAGGACTGCGGATTCGGAGCTGACATCATGGGATTCCGCGTTTGATACCATAGGCAATTAATGCAGATGGTCATGAAGAGGTATGCCAGTCGTGTTCCAGTGACCTAAGAGTTCCTGGGATAGGTTTGAGAAACTTCGAGGTGTGTAGCGGCTCTACACGTCCTAGCCTGCCCGCCACCTTGCCCAGTGATGGAAACGACAACGAACATTGATACGTATTTCTTAAACTGCCCCGTATCTATGACTTTGCTACTGCGGAGTTGTGAGTTGAGTTCGGGATTGAGTGGATAGGTCACCGTCATTGCCTCCAACCGCGCCTCTACGTTTATCATGCAAGACAACGATATCGATCAAGGCGTAAGATGATTGCGCCGAAGGATATCTCGAATCACATACCGAGTTCGTTTTCATGGACTCGTAGTAAAAATAAATACCAATCGATCTGGGAAGCAATGTCCTATTGCGTGGATTTCGTTAAGAGAGGAAGGACCGATATAATTGCAGTGAAAATGGACACAAAAATTCAGCGTTCGGACGCGGAGAACCTGCCCCAGTGAGGCTCGAACTCACGACCTTCCGATTGCATTTACTCGGGGACAAGATAACAGTCGGACGCTGTAACCAACTCAGCCATGGGGCATGGGGAAAGGTGTGTCCTTCAACGTTCGTGCCGCCAACGAAACCGCTCGAAAGGTCTCGCTAAAAGAATCGGTTGCGGAGGTCATATCAAAAGGCGAGCGATTTTGTCTGCCAAGAGAAGGCTAAGATCCAAGAACGAGGGGAGTCCTGTGGAATGACACATTAGCAAAGCCATAATATTAGGGCTGGACGGACTTGAGAGGTAATCTTTTTCTAGGTGATATCCATCCTGAAAGAGTATCGAGAATATCTCTGATACCGGTAGACTCTATGCGAGGGCGTAAGCTGAAGATTTGGAAAGGTGAAGGAGAGTACACTTGATGAGTCGTAAACTGATAAGAGATAACGGCGAGATCACCGCAATGACATCATTCTTCCACTCACCTGACACGACGCGTCGCGTCATCAAAACCTAGTTCCACATAGTTATCCCTATATTTCTGAGCTATTCTGCTGTATTTTAGCTTTTAAAATACATGGAAGCCGAATCCCTAACCCTAACCCCTAACCACGGGGCGTTCCCCCCGCACCCCCCCTTATAAATATCTTCAATCCCCTAACCCTTCTTGCGGGGGCGTTCCCCCCCCTGCACCCCCCCCTCTAACCCCGAACCCCTAACTGACGCTTCGCTGCGCTCAGCGTAGGGGAGCTAGGGGGCGCTTCGCGCAGTGGGACCGCTGCGCGGTCGTCGTAGTCTTGTACTTAGCCAAATTTCTGCTTGATGGCTATGACATCACTCGGCCTGCGGCCGGTGAGATAACTGATCTCGGCGAGTTCGAGTCACGAGTTTACGACGCATCGAGTGTCCCCTGAAGGTGAAGGGAGAGAAGTTCTGAGAAGAGATGCGTCGAGAATGAGCCGTGTTGATGACGAAGGTGTCCGAGGTCCTTGACACGTGTTGCGCACGGACCATCCCGTTCTCTGGTCAACCTTCAATATCGTCCAGCACCAACCGTTAACGGTATGTGTGTTTCTCTATCCTTGGCCATTCTGTCCCCATCGTTCACTGATTATCGTTTTCCTGTCAAAAGGAAGCGTCCGGTACTCTCGCCACTCCAAGGATGCTATTTGCTGGGGAGCACAGGAATAGATGGTATCTCTATGGTGCGCTGTCACATTGACCCTCCTCCAACGCTCTCCTAATGAATGCCATTCGAAGGGTCTTTTTTCCCAAGCAAGATCATCAATTCCCTGAAACGCATCGCCAACTCAATGCTCCTTCAACCCCAGAAACTTGCTTCGCCTCCCTAGATCTTTCTTGTATTACCGGTTGCTATGCTGGAAAGTTGTATGCATTATGGTCTGGAGACGGTATCCGTTTCCGAGGAGACAGGTGAGTTTGAGCCTCCCCCGTCTTCCATCGATATAGGCTAACTTATCCAGCCCTTACTTGGTCGATACCTATACCCACTCCACCACTTCCCTGGTCCCTCTGATTGCTCTCCGACGTCGACTTCCACTATTTTGTTTAACCCACTTTCAAACCCACATCCACAAGTGCCATGTCTCACCCCTTCATAACACGAAACACAGCACAAATCCCTTAGACGGGGCAGTTGCTAATCTGACCCAGGTCTAGCACAATCGTCCCGGAGACCTACATCCTGAACCTGTTCCATCTCTACACTGCCCACTGCGCCGCCTCGCTAGCCCCTCTCATCGTAATGGCTCCTTCAACACACCGTACCTCTACCCAAGCCATACCTAGCTCACCGCCTGACCCTTAACACAAAACTATTCTATGATATGTTACAAACTGAAGCTGAAGGGTAGTACCGGTAACAAGAAATCATACGTGTGTTTGCCTATTTCTACGTTACCCCCCGTATTCCAGAGACGAAAATCGCCGTTACCTCCTTCCAATCCACGTCATCCCGAACGCGTTTCGCAGCCGGGAGACCATTCATTCACCAGTGCAATCTACACGTCACCCAGAACCACACCCTTCGGTTACACCCACCCAGTTCAACTACTCCCTCACCCCAACGATTCCACCTACCTCCCTTCTCCGGTAGCTCAATCGGCTACATATTTCTTCGGGAATATTTTTCATTGGAAGGATGTTATTCTATCGTCCAAGCGTGCGACCTTGAAAGTGAAGCAAAGTCTGCGTTGAGCGCACAAACAACTATGCCAATATGGATGCGACGACACTGTCGAGGTTCGGCGAGTAGCGTGAACCTTCGGTGAGGAACTGCTCACTGAGAATGATGACTCTAGCTATAAACATGGTAGAAAGTTGAGAAAGAAAGCATGCAAAGGACGAGCCTTATCGCGTGGATGTGTATGCCGTATCAACCACTTGGAGAAGTGGAACGACGACTGTGGAATACATATAAGAACTCGTGTGGCCAAAGAAGCTAATATAAATCACAGATATTAGGACTTTGAAGCCCTTGGTACTAGGTAGGTTGGAATGAACTAGTGATTAAGTCATTGCCGATAATAATGGTGAAGATGCGATCTCTGGCCACGCAGGGAACATTGACTTTGGCGAAGTAAATACCAAATAACCTTGTTAGTACAGCGTTGAATAGTATGAGAACGTGACGGCAACGAGAAACATAGAGGATTGAGGGTTCATACTGGATCTAGTATAAACGTAGGTTATAAATTGCTTCCAATCGTTCTCGGCTTGTTGGTCACGAGAATACATATATCATACCTGATACAGAATAGCCCAAGGGACATTTAGAGCATCCCGATATACACCAAGATGGTTCTTGTTCAAGAAGACATGCGAATCCGGCAATCACGAGTGTCTTCAAGCCTACTTAGCCGCATCGAGCCACCGGAAACACGAACTTTCATCGCATATATCGTACAGTACTTTGAGTTCCCGATTCAACCACTGTCAATAAATCTGTTTCCATTGGAAGCTAATTCAACATCAACGAGCGATACTAGTAGGACTCGGAAGTAAATGAACAAGACCATAATCGTAATCACCGCCGGTCATATGTGTTCCTTCTCCAGTACCAGCAGATCTTACACCTGTACGCTTCTTGTATTTTGACATAGGGTTCGCTTCTATCCCGGGATCAGTGACAAGGTCAAAAAGAGGGCAAACAATGAAACAATCTAACGCGTCTTTGTGCCAGTTATTATTAGGACTTCGGAGTATCATTGGACTCCGCGTTTGATACCAGAGGCGAATAATGGAGCTTGAGTGATGCAGATAACAGTGAAGAAGAATGCCGGTCGTGTTCCGGTGACTCGAGAAGCCTCAAGGTACATAGCGGCTCCACGCGGCCTAGCCTGCCGCCGACCTTGCCTAGTGATGGAAACGCCAACTAATATCAATAGATTCTTAGAATTGCCTCGTGTCTATGGTTTTATTCCTGCAGGATCGCAGTTGTGTGCTGAGGATATATACACCTCTATTACACAAACTCGACAACGAGATAGATATAGTGTTTGAGATACACGTTGGGGCTGACTGAAGCTGTTCTCCAAATTCTCAGATCATGTTCACTTCGAATTTTGAAGGGTGTTGACGCTTGCGTAATGTTGGTCTAATGCATCATTCCACCAATGACAACTTTAATTAGATCACATTCCTCAACAGCGGGCCAGTTTTCTGACGCCACTAATGAGCTGACCAGAGATAAAGAGCCGTTATAGACCTGTATTTACTCTGCCAGATGCTCCTCCATTTTGTATTCCTGCTTCTCGTATCGTTTCCACACAAAGGTCGTACGCAGATACTGCATTCAACCTCACTTTGGGTAACGCCGTTAGCCAATGAACACAGGAAGCGTACTGATGCCACAAGCAGGAGACCCAGGTCAACAATACAGATCAGGATCGTATTCACGCTGCAGATGCTGCGGTACAGCAAGTAGCAGATCGGCTTGATTCCACTGGGGCAATCCCAAGCCTGGATGAGTGTAGGTATTGTATTATAAGTTCGATCCTATTTCTCAATGTCGATTCATTTTGCTCTTCTTAGCTGACACCATGCCACCCTTCTACGCTGTTCTTGCGAACTACAATATCAACACAAAGCAGCAGTTCCTACGTGATAGCTCGCTAATCTATTTTGAGAACGCTACCAAACAATCCTACATGTCGCTTCGAAACTACATGTGAGTTTATTCACTATTCAGTTGTCGTATCGTTGACACAATTAGACAAATGGGATACAGTTTGGCTCGGGCATATCTCGCCTTCACGGGGGCTGACCATCTTCTTGACTTGGCGAAAAGTGTGTGGGATGATGTAAATCAGTACACCATTTCCGAAGGCGATATCAGCACCGGGAACATGTCTACAAAGAATGTCGCTATACCACAACAATGCAAAAGAGGCGAAACACTAACAGGGGCAACGTTTCAGGCTAGTCAAACTTCCTTTGCTGCAATTTTGTACTTACGCCGTTCTAGAACGTTTCGCGAGACGACATCATTCTCAGCGTGTATGACACCGCGTTCGTCACTGCTCACTTGTTTTTGGCGTCAATAAATGACTCTAATTTTTCCCACTTAGTTTCTTTTTCATGTGGGTCTAGAAAGATAGAGTCACATCTTCAACCTGACCAACTTTAACCAAAGGTTCTCAGCCACGTTAGCCAGTTTGGAAAGTTCTCCAAATAACACTTATGTTTCGGTAGCAAGGAACTCATTTAACTTTCTGATGCACTCTTCCATTGGCCCTCTCTTTCCTTCCGTAATCGAGGTTAATCCTTGTCAAAACGTGGTTATTGTTCAGCCAATGCGGGGGACATCCACTATTGGCCTTTTGATTGAAGGACTTTCCTTGCTAGCGTCTCTACAGAGCGACGTAGAACCAGAGCTTGAATCGATGTGAGTCACGATATTTCTGCGCTTTTTGCACTTTAACGGTGTTTAGGCTACCGAAGTTGATAATGCAAGTATTCAATGAAACTGCTAATGGATGGCCAAGCCCTGCAGGTATACTACCGGGAATGACGGGCTGTGACGGCTGGTGCACAGGAACCCCCACATTCTCGTCTACAAATCCTCCGTTCGTTGCGAAAAT